GTGTTCAATTTATCTTGAAGACAAATTTTGTTATGAGGCCACGCCCTGCCTAACATGATCATTAAGAGATTTATTGGGAGACTGATTTCTTAAAGTTTACAGCAACCTTTAAGCCAAAGCACTTTTGTAAAACATCTGCAACTTTTGTTCCAGCAAAACAATACAGATTTTTGAAGAAAAGACTTGTCTTACCTGTCCAAAAGCACCAACTCGTGTTTTGTCCACATAAGGCTCTTTAAGAATAAAACTGTAAAGAAAAAAATATATATATTAGCATTAATAATTGCAACAGTTTGTTTTAACAAGACAAACAAACATATAAGTTGGCCAGCTGAGGATGTAACCGACAGCGGCAGTGAAGGCAGTTTCATACTTGAGAGCATCCTTCTGATCCAGATCCTCGCCCAGTCTTTTCTGGATCCGGTGCAGAACATTGGTGCCTTGGAAGCCGCTGCCTCGCCCGTCACAACGGACCACGATGGYACCGAAGCTGCTCACCAGGACTGTGGCCCAGTCTATTTCAAACTGCTCTGACACCATCTGGCCACCAGGTGTCCCGTCGCTGCACAACAGACAAAGCTCTTCAGTACAACGTCAACCGACGTGTTCTAAAACATTTGAATATTGTTGTTTTAGTGGGCAGTGGAAACGTGAGATAATGTAAGTGACAACGATTTATTTTTATTAAATTACAAGAAGTTATTTGAGGCTGCCAGAGCTCAAACTGCAATACAAGTGGCATTTAGCTCAATTAAACTCTGTTGACTAAGAACTAGCCTTCCCTGTTCTGCTTTGCAGTTACCAACCTGGAGGTGAGGTAGATACGTACATGAGGAGGAGCAGTGGGTAGCGTGACGTGTCCACAAAGCCTGCAGGTTTTAGGATCTGCAAAGACAAAACTGGAATACAGACAAGAAACAAACAAATAAATCAAATTTAATAACATCCTAATCAAACCACCAAGCTTGTCAAATACTGTATGATGTACTTTAAAATCAATCTTCCTTTGATGGAGTTTACTTGTCTTGTTCAGGATAATTTATTAAAAACAAACAAAAAATAATAATAATAATTGTGATGAACTGGTATATACATTTTTGATGTTTTCCATTGTTAAAATTACTGTTAATTTCATTTTCTTTTCAGGCTGCAGACTAACACATACTGTAGTCATCCATGTTGATCTCCTGGTACTCCACTGTGGGCATCTGCATGGAGTCCAGTGTCAGCCTCAGGTTCTCATTGGTCTCCAGTTTAAAAACTTCTGAAATACCTGCAGACAGCACATGATTATGGAAGTAACTGAGTTAGGACAAAATATATTTCTGAGCAACAACTGCCTTGAAATAATTCCATTTTTTATGTCCCTTAGTATTTGATTAAACATGAAACTTTAATCATTTAATAATCTTCTCAAGTATGTAATAAAAAAAGATGTATTTAGAAAAAAATGGTTGTTTCAACTGACTAATTTTATAGAATTCAACAAAAGAAAACAATGTGAATGCCACTGCTACTCAAACCACAACCTAAATTCTCTCTCGAGGACGGATTCATTCTTCAAAACACTTCCCCTCCTAAACAGAGACCCAGCAGAGACCCAGCTTGCATGTGTTCCACAATGTGTCCGACACAAACTTATCATCGTTTAGCTGCCACAACTCCAGCAAGGTCGAAGGAACAGCAGAGCGAACACTGTAGGTTGGAATTGGTTTGTGCTGAACATCCAAAAGGCAGCAACCAGGAGGGAAATCAACACAACAGCTGCTCCAGCTGCCCCTTCTTACAAATTCAGATAAAAACCTGCCACGCTGCTGCAGGAAAAACCTTCCAATAAAGCTTCAGAGAGGAGGCAAAGGTACTCTGCCTGGGTTATAGATTACAGCAGCACACGTCAACCAGAGGGCTTCAACGCAGCTGCATAGATGAATTCTGATACGACCTTGTTTTCCCAGCCACTCACGCACAAAGACAATAATGGCCATGAAGACTTTGAAGATATTTCACATGGAGATTGCATATTTTATTTTATTTTAGGTCAGAATTGCTACAGTACTGACTAAATATGGTGCATAGTAACTAATGGCATCTTAAATATTGCATGTTGGCCTCCTAAGCATTTAGTTCAAGTGCAGCAGCCTTCCACTAAGAGCTAAACRCAGTGTAAAGCTTTAATGATTTGCTGCCTCCTTTAAAAGCAAAAGTCAGGGGTTTAAAAAGCTGCAAACTGTCTGTACTGTATATTAGGTTTAAAAAAATCCTAATCATGTTAATCCTWTATATTATTCTGTAATAAAAGTCACTGTAATTTATGCAGAAAGTTTTTAACATAAGCCGGGCGACTTACAGTTGATAAGGGATGATACAATATCAAATTACAGCATGCTGATATARCTGTGGGGCAGGTCATAAAGTGAGGAGCACTCATAATGTGATTATTATATGAGGCAGGCTTGCTGACAAACAATAACTCTGTGCACAGGTGGTCACATTTTGCACTAAAGACAATTTTACCCCCTAATGATAAGGGGATTTTTGAGTATATTGTGTTATCAAGATAAAGGTCACTTGCAAAATTCATATTTTATGGAACTGTACTGTAAAAAAAAAAAACAATAAGACTTGAGTCATTCTACCTTCTCCCTCCTTGAAAATATTCAGGGGCAGCTCCACCAGACAATTAAAAGGCTCCAACAGAATGTGCTAACAGGTTCTAGATGCTACAATGTCTCATTGGGGCAGCAAYGCACCCTGGAAACACAGTATACAAAGCACAAACTTCCTGACCATCTCAGCACCCACCAATGACCACTTTTGGGAATATTTTTTTTTATTCTGTCTCTGTTTTTTGTGGTTGAAATAAAATGGCGTGTTTTGAAGCAGTTGCTGTCCASTATCGTGACTCCCTGACCARTCAGTGGTCTGCAGTCTGCTGACGTGAAACCATTAGCTCAGCCGGATAGGTCCTAAAGCTATAGGYTTATAGTTGATGTRTTGAACACGGTGCAAAGGTGCATGCACCAAACGTGATGCAATCTCGCCACCCCTGCTCCCCCATGGTAAAATGGTGAAATTCACAGTGAAAWTTGCATGCTTTACCTGGTGGTAATACTTACTTTCTCTGTCTTGAGTCTCACTTTCTGCATCTCTTTGAGTTTTGTAAACAGCCACAAATGGAATGTCTGGCCCTGAAAGGAAAACCAAAAACAGRACCAAGCATTCAATTTCCTTCACTTTTTGAATAGAAGCTTCAGCTATGATATGTGTGCATTTCTATATTTATTTTTTGTTYGGGGCAAAAATAAAAAATAAAAACAATGTTAGCATTTGCTTTGTATTGGATAGAATGGAGGAAAATAAACCTGCTCTGGTGTGTGCTAAATCACTGCTTATTTGATTTATGTAATGCAATAGTTGGAACAGCTTTTCTATTTTTAGGCCCCAAACAGAAGCAAAACCCTCAAACTGCAGAGCAAAGGGAAGAGGAACAGCAGATGAAGTGATTGATGCACTTAGCAAATTGAGAACATAGGAACACTGAGGCTGTATTTGATGGGGTAGTCATTTGTTCCTTTTTTTCCCCCTTTATCTTCTTTTCCCCTCTGGTCTCATGATAATCATATCATAACCTCATCACACGGGATCACAGTCAGGCTGCAAGGAGGATAACTGGATTAAAAATACATGAGAAACGAGATCGCTGAGGGTCAGCAGGGCGGGTTTGATGTCATTAAGTCTTTTTTTTTGGACTGTCCTTGAATTTAGATTTTGACTCACACAAGAACTGGGTATGTGATTAAAAATTGAATCTACTGTCTTCAAATCTTCAAACAAAACAACACTGCTTTGACATTCTAATATTTCTCTGATCTTGAAAAGCTTTTTTTTTTCCTTGTTCTTTTGGGTTCTCTCTTCCCCCCTCCCCCCATGTCCTACACAGCAGATACAGATCAAAGGTTTAAATGAATTCACTGTAGATTTTGGCACAAAATCGCAAATGCTAAAAAGTTGGACAGTAACTTTAAAAAGGGAGGTTTAAACCACATACAAATCAATGAGCTATATTTTTTAGTTAAATAAAAATCACTTTTTAACAGTTGAACATTTTAATCTTAACAATTAAAATTAAATTTGCCTTTTTTAAAGAAATGCGTATTGTCTGGGACCTTGCTTGCAAAACTTTTAAATAAAGACGTTGCATGATCTCTTGGAATATGTGGTGGGAATGACTCTCAGCTACTACCATACCAAATTTGAACACACTATCTTTAAATTAGACTCATTTCAAGCCACGTTTGTGTTTGGTTTGTGTTATTGTCTGTCCAGTAGTTCATGAAATATGTTGTCACAGAGCTTAATTCAAAGTCAATGCAACATTTTAAACAAAGGCAATCAGTGGTTAACAGATTAGCTTTAAAAAAAAGGTATTTAGTCTTGAACCAGTTGCAGTGAATGCCTCTAACACTGGGTGTTTCATTGCCCATCATATGATGCAACAAGTCTCTATGGTAATTTCATTGGTAGTTAAGTCAAACAGATGGATAAGGAAAGAGGGAATAGTGACTGCTGTCTACCTTGGCAGTTGAGCAGAAAGTAGCTCATGTTGTGGCTGAAGGAGCCGCTGATGTAGCCGCAGCTGTCGGACAAGGCGCACGACAGGCAGCGGTGGTTAAAAAAGCCAAACGTGTCGGCACTGTGGAAACAAAGAGTATTTAACACTTTGCACATGTTGGTAATAAACAGTGGATAAAACAATCATTACCTGTACAGATGTCTTCGTTTTGGGTCATCTTCAGTGCTTAAGAAGTAGCTATGTCAAAACAACAGAAGAACATGAATGGAACATGTGAAATGCAACAAATACTAAATATTTGGGTGCTACAAAACTTTTTTTGTTTAATTATTTTATTGTGTGTTGAAAATAAGATTACCTAGAGGACATCTGGTCGCTAAAATAGATGCTTCATGAATGAATGATGGTGAATAAAGGGGGTAAATCTTTTTAGAGGAGAAGTAGGCCACATCCTTCCCCCATGGGGTAAAAGCTGTTTTTGTGACTTTTTAAAACCTGTCTTTGTCTCTGAACAAAGGAGTGTTCCTCCAAGTGTTCATGTGTTGTGTTTGTGTGAAATCTCAGTCAGGAAATAGGAAACAACTACTTTTACTTTGACTAGATGGACGTTACTGTTGTATGATTTGTGATCTCACATCAGTTGACTGTCTTCACTGTAGGCCAGGACCTGAGTGACGTCCCAGTCTCCAAACGTGATGGTCTGCAGTGTGTCTGTACTGGTGTTGGGCTTTGAAAGTGAAGGAAAAAACAGGAAAAATATCAAAATGTAGTCATTTTTAATAACTGCTACATTCTGCTGACATCAAAATCACAAAGGCCCCCACATATTTGGGCATACTTCGCTCCGTGGAGGTTTGTGTGGACTCGAGGTGAACAAAATGTGGACAGGTCCATGCAGAGATCAGGTTTTTTTTTTTTTTACATCCCTGTCCAGAATGTCGCACAATAAACTGCCCGGCGAGTTCACATCGAACTGTTTTGGATGCGACACCAAGCAGATAAAACTGAGAATCTGTCATTTGTGGACGAAATGGAGTGACATTCTGAAGAGCGTCTCACAGAGGAGAATAGAAAACAAAGAAACTACTGTATGTGACACACCAATGAAGGAATATAAAGACTTTCAAAGAGCAACAAATTTGTGGGAGGAAACAGCTCAGACCCTGGGTAAGGTAAGTTTTTCCTCTTTTGCTGTTTGAAAGCTAAAATGCAAGCTACAGTATCTCTTCATCCCGTCCTTGACATCATGACTGAAATAGCAAGAAATTAAAGAATTTGTCAGRCGATCAGAACGCTCGACCATGAAGTCTCAAATTCCACGGACAAGCGCGGAGTCCGCGCAGCTCATGGACCGCACACAGTAAGCCTGAGTGTGTGTGTGGGGCTTTTAGCGTGCAATACTTGGTTCTACCCACTTAAAACCACCTCAGAGGTGGTTATGAAGTGCACAGTTGGAAACAGAGACACATTTGGCCGAGGTTGAACCAAGGAGAACCGAATACCGGCGCGCAAGTGGGGCTTAAGGCTACATTCACACTGAAAGGGATTAAAGTCAGATTTTTTGATGTGAATGTTCAGATTATATTTCAACTGCGACTTCCATCTKACTTTRGTGTGAACTTTCCACAGYCCTGATGCGACTYGCATGMGCAGAGATGACATGAYGTCRCATTCAACTAGCTGTTTGTTATCATGTCAATTCTCCAGTTGTTGTGGAACCAGAGCTGGTTAAATAATTATGTGACGTTTGTTTAGTTCAGTGCATTTATCTGAACGTTAGCGCTGATGTTAGCGCCGGACCATATCGATTCAAGTAAAGGAGGTTTTCCTCCTCATTTTCTTCTTCAGAGCTTTCTGTCTGAGCAGCAGGTTCTCCATTCTGTATGACTGGTTCATTTTAGTATAGTTGGACATTTTTTTTTATTTAGTTCCTCAGCAAAATCCGATTTAGTATCAAAGACAGACATGTTAGTAGACAGACCGTTCATCCAGAATGACGTCATATAGTAACAGACCTTAGAAACAAGAATTATGATTTTTTTTGCTCTGCTTCATGGCCCAGTTTAGCAGGTGAAAAGTCAGTTTTTAATGTTTTTTCATTACAGCTGTGAATAGTTTAAATCTGAATTTTAATTGAAACATTATACAAATTCTAAATTTGTAAAATACATTTTTTTCCTTTTATTTGACCTTTAACAGAATTTATTTATTTTACAATAGCATTGTCTAACCTGAGAGATAGACATGGAGATGTGAAAGAACTTGCCCCGGCCTCCCTGAGGGATGGCCCGAGTGAAGAAAAGCTTGAGTCCATCTTTGGAAAACAGAGGTTCCTCGTTCTGTAGATAAAAAAGAACATTATTCAAATATCTTACACAGAAAAGGTAAAACAAAAGAAGAAAAAAAATCAACAATGGTTTGAAAATGCTATTTTGTATTTTATATTTTATATTATATAAATAATAAAACTTAAACCAGGCAAGAACTGTGAGAAGATAAAACTAACAGCTCTAATTAAATGATGCTAACATTTCAGTCAGTGAATTCCTCAAAGCCTTCATCAAACGCTGTTTTTTTTTCATGCTCACCTGTCTGTAGAGCCACCCTTCGCTTTCATCTTCGTGTTTCTGTAAGAACAGATTGCCACGTTTCAGCTRACTCACAGAAACCGCCTCAGGCACAAACAGCACTTTTCAGACACACACACTAGACTGTACCTTGGTGCAGAGGCCTGTCGTGGCCTCACACAGCGTGAGCATGGAGATGTTCTGYGCTCTGTTCAGCCAGTTAATGGCCAGTTTGGTGGTGGTGGCCCATTTCACCATCGTCACATAATACTCTCTGAAAAACACAGGAAATAATAACATGCTCCATAGTGCACTGATCAAAGAAAACCATTACACCTTATGGAACAAGGGCTATTGAATACAAATGTCTTATTGAAAATAAACAATTTACCTTAACAACAGTTCACGTTGAGGTCAATTTTACAATTTTGTCACTTACTCTGGAAATTCTGAAAATTATGTAGAAGAAAAGAGGCCAAAAACCGGAGCTTTCATGGGGAAAATCAGGTGGAACTTGACTCTAATGAAGTTTGTTGTGTCATGATTCTTAGATTTCTTCCACACAAACAGTCTACAAATCTTGAAGGTTTCGTGGACCTCTTCTATGAACTCTGATCTTTAGTTCTTTCCATAGATTTTCTGTTGGATTCAGGTCAGGTGATTGGCTGGGCCATTCCAGCAGCTTTAGTTTCTTTCTCTGAAACCAAATGAGAGTTTCCTTCCCCCAGCATGCCAGCGGCCAGCCGCACACCCCACCGGGGGGCCCAGCATTAGCGGGCCCCCAGATAAACCAGCAGGAGGGGCAGCCCAGACC